TCCTCGGGGGGCGGAGCTACGTCACGGACGTTCTACGTTGCTAAGACGCGCACCACTGTACAACGTATTTCTATGGGCTTTGTGCGCGCTGCCGAAGAACGCCGGTGGAGGCAGTGAAAACTCGAGAAAACAACACAAACTCAACTTTGAAGTAATCCTGAACAACCAAATTCATATATGTTACACACGTAGGGTTAATCTTGTTACACTGTTCAGGGAACTCTCAACAACCACAGCAAAGTACCGTTTTCTGCGGGTTTTGGGTCTTTGTTTTCACCGCGAGGGTTGCCAGGCGGTATAAAATGCCCGGATGTCCGCCCCGGAGGATATTGCAATTCAAGGAATTAACCCCTTATGTGCATCCATTTCCCACCTTGGTATCACCCACCCCTGAAAACAAACTCTTAATACCACGCTGAAGCGTTTGGTAATAAGCTGATTCTATTTTTCCATTCTTTTATTTATTCATTTAATTTTCTATTCTTTCGTTTATTGTTTTATTTATTTTTCTATTGTTTTATTTTTTGTTTTATTATTTTATTTATTCTTCTATTTTTTAATTTATCGTTCTATTCTTCCATATAATCTTTTATTTCTTGTTCTAATTTTCAATTTTTTTTTTATTTATTGTTTTATTCTTTGATTTATTCTTTTATTTATTTATTTATCTATTTTTTGATTTATTCTTTTATTTATTTATCTATTCTTTTATTTATTTATCTATTCTTTTATTTATTCTTTTGTTTATTTATCTATTCTTTGATTTATTCTTTTATTTATTTATTTATTTATTTATTTATTTATCTATTCTTTTATTTATTGGTGTTTTTCAATTTTGGCCCTAATGGCACACCATAGAGAAAATGCCACTACTGTCAGGAAAAACAAATAGAAGATGAAAGCCATCTAAAAACAAAAGATAAACAATCACTAATTCATTTGGCAAAATATATCTTTGAGTGCTTCAATTTAAGAAATGACACTCATAAACAAAAAATACCAGCTGCTTTATAATTGATATTACTTATTAAGATACCTTTTCTGTATGTTTTTTCTAACCATTCCTTGTTCTCCGTTTTTATTTGATTTTATTATGTTTTTACTATGTCTTCATTTGTATTTTTCGTCTTGCCATTCTGTATGTATTTGAAACTTTATTGTATTTTAAAAATCCAGATCCTGAACAGGATATGATTTCAATAAAGGCATTACTTACTTACGTGTGAGGCACGACCATTGCCAGCTTACGTGTGAGGCACGGACATTGCCAGATTACGTGTGAGGCACGACCATTGCCAGCTTACGTGTGAGGCTGCTGAGGCACGACGTTTGCCAGCTTACGTGTGAGGCGCGACCATTGCCAGCTTCAAGTTAACTATTTTTACGAATGACTCGCCTGTTTAATTTATTCGAGCAACGACATCTGACAAGTCATCTCTCTATGCGCATGCGTGAACATATTCCGTTAAGCCATTCTCACGCTAGTCAACGTCAGGTCACTTCTGAGAGGATACCCTAGTTAGCATGTCAAACGCTGTACACCACACCATATATTCTTGGTTATTTATCACCATTGCTATTTACTGAGTGGAAGTTACACGTATCTGTTGAAGTAAGTCACTATATATAAATAACGACTGTGGGTGGTGTTTAAGACTGCTCTGTTTAGGAGTTAACTTCGTAACAAGTTCTTCAAAGTCGACACCGACATTGAACCGCGCTGCTCAAGGTTATTTTACCCGCGTACATGTATCTCGTTGATCAAATCCTCGCTGACAATACCGTCGTGCTAGGCATGATTTACGGGGAACCTACAATGTGCGCTGAATGCAGTTATGGTATAGATCTTCATAAAATGCAGCTGTCTTGCGTGGCCCGCTTTGAATGAAAATGTCATACCAGTAAACGTTAGTTTCTGTCGTCATTATGACAAAAAAATGTTACCAGTGAATTGAATTGAATTAATGTTAAGTTGAAATTTATTGCTCATTATAGATAGGACATATCCACAAATTCTTCGCGAACGAAGGGCCCTGTATTTATTGACGATTCCAATTGTGCGTCTTTGTACAATTTGTATACAATTTGTTATGTATATATAGGGAGAATATGATATTGCGTTTTCGAAAAAAATACGACAAACAAATAAATGGCAGACAAAAATGAATTATGAATTATCAGAGCATGAAGAGAACATAATAGTAAATGATCACTTAGATAAGGTTATTAGTGAAAAAGAAGTTAGTGGAGCACTGAAAATGCTAAAATCCAAAAAAGCACCAGGCTTGGATGGTTTCTGTTTAGAACTATTAAAATACAGCTCAAACTATCTAATTAATTTACTTACCAAATTGTTTAACTTAGTTTTGGGTAGCTCAGTTTTCCCAGATATTTAGAATTTAAGTTGCATTACTCATCTTTATAAAAAAGGAGACAAATTAGACCCTCAAAATTACAGGGGAATATCAGTTTCAAGTTGTATTAGTAAAGTCTTCTGTTACATTATAAATAAACGCGTAAACTGTTTCATTGAAGAAACACAGAACAACTGATCAAATTTTTGTATTAAAAACTCCAATTCAAAAACATATTAAAAATAAACAAAAACTCTATGGCTGTTTTGTAGATTTTGCCAAAGCATTCGACACGGTATGGAGAGTAGGGCTATTCTATAAACTATTAAAAAATAACATTAATGGCAAGATTTACAAAATAATAAAAAACATGTATTCAAAAAAAAAAAGCTTGCATTAATATAAATAATTATATAACTAAAGAATTCACTATTAATAGAGGAGTAAAACAGGGATGTATAATTAGCCCAACTCTTTTCAACATTTTTATTAATTGATTTAAAGGATAGTTTGGATAATACTGAATCACCACTCCTGAATAATAACACTGTTAACTCTGTTTTATATGCAGATGATTTAGCCCTTATTTCCACTACCCAGACTGGTCTACAGACATCATTAAATACACTAAATGAATATTGCAATAAGTGGAAATTGAGTGTGAACCTTTCAAAAACTCAAGTTGTTATCTTCGGTTCATCTACATTGAGAAAAAAATACCAATTCAATTTTGGAAATGATAACATTCAAATAACAAACAGTTATACATATCTAGGAATCTCAATAAAATCAAATGGGAGTTTTGCGGATGCCATGTCAAATTTAGCAGGTAAAGCTGGAAAATCAATTTACACCATGAACAAAGTACTTTTAGGAAATCTAGACAAAATATTTAACATTTACATAAAACCAATTTTGCTTTATGGCTCAGAATTATGGGCCCTAGACTTGCAGGACATTCAGGACAATGCTAAATGGGACAAAACATCAATTGAAAAAATCAATATTAAATTCTGCAAACAAATCTTACAAGTAAATAAAAAAATCCTGTAACTTACCATCAAGAGCAGAGGTGGGTAATTATCCACTACTGCTCAGTGCAAAAGTTCAAGCTATTAATTACTGGTTGCATGTAAAGGATCTCCCAGATGACAATCTTACAAAACAGGCATACCTAGAACAAACACAACACAATACTATACAATACAAATGGCTAAATGCAATACATACAATATTGAAAGACAATTCACTAAACTTCATAAAAGAAAAAACATTCACTATCCAACAAAAAAATCAAATTAATCAAATTTTAAAAACTTCCCTTGAAAATAAATATACCAGTTTCTGGAAAGAAATGATTTCCATAGAAAATAGCAAACAGAATACATCTTTGAGCCATATTTGACTGAACTTGACACTCATAAAAGGAAAATGTTGACAAAATTTAGAATTAGTAACCATAACTTGGCAATAGAGGAAGGCAGATATTCATTTCCTAAGAAACCTATAAATAAAAGAATATGCAATAACTGTGACACAAATTCAATTGAAGATGAAGAACATTTTGTGAAGAACTTATCCTATGTAAATCTTTTTACACTGAGGCAATAAAGTATTATTATTATTAAAAAACACAAAAAACAAATGTTGTACACAAAGAACATCTGTTATTTACATTTGTAGTGTAGGATATATTGTGAGATTACTAGTAACATATGTATGTACATGCATGTACAGCAAACTGTAGAAAACATTGTGGGTAAGTGGCAATGAATAGCCGATCAAGCCTATAATTATGCAAAGAATGGGGTGGCATTATTGTTGTTTTAAATTAGCCAATTGTACTATCGGATACTACTGAAAATATTCTTCGTAATATATCTGACTTAGTAAGTTGTTAGTTATAATAACTATGGTTGTTACCCCATGGCTTCTGAAAGTCTGTTGTTTATCACTTACAGCTGACAGCTGACAGCCCCATTCATCTTAATTGAGGTCAACATTGGAAGGTGTGACTGTCAATATGCGTTGTGATGGTCATCTGCTGAAGCTACTTATCGTGGTGTCTATACTAATAACAATTGGTTTATTCCACTATACAGGTAAGGAAAGGAAGGTCATGGCGTTGGCCATTCTAAGGGGCGGGCCATTCTAAGGGGCTGGCCATTCTAAGGGGCTGGCCATTACAAACTGCGCGGGATGCGGTATAGCCACTGTACACATTTTTTTTATTTTTTTTTCAAAATTTCCTTACACGACGATATCGACACCATAGCTCTATTTCAAAATCACGTCAAAGATTTTGTTCTTTAATTTTCCTATAGAATTGTTTCGTGCTTTTATAAAATGAGAAAACAGAGGGCTCACACTAGACTTGCTCTTTATCTTTTGGTGTTTATTTGATAAAATGGAATATGGGAGTGTATAAAAGGCGGGTTCAGCGAATGAATAACCCGGCATTCGGGGCCATTGGTTTTTGACTCCCATGTGCGAAGCACAAAATGGGAGTCTTTGCAGTTAGTGTGTCTGTATGTGTGTGTACATGTATGTGTGTATGTGTGTCCGACTGTTCCACTGCTATCTCAAGAACCATACATCGGTTTTTGATGAAACTTGGTGCATAGATGCTCTGGGCCAATGCGCAGATTTGATTAGGTTTTGGTAAAAATCCATCCTCGTTAATTACCTAATTTGCATGATAATTAGCTAATTTTTAGCTGTTCTATGACTGTTCCACTGATATCTAAAGAACCACTCATTAGATTTTGATGAAACTTGGTACATAGATGCTCTGAACATATGCGCAGATTTGATTAATTTTTGGTAAAAATCCGTGCATATTAATTACCTAATTTGCATGATAATTAGCTATTTTTTAGTGGTTCCATGAC